CAACACACACACACACACACACACACACACACACCTGTCTCTTATACACATCTAGATGTGTATAAGAGACAGGTATTGGGGAAAAGCAACGAAATGTGAGCCAACAGCATATGTCTGCTTTTGCATTTGTTGATAAAAAAAAAAAAAAAAAAGGTCCTATTATGATATTAATATCATATTATCCATATCCAAATCCTACGTCTGTGCCAGCACTGTTTGGGTGATGTGCATCTTTTTCTGCATCTATCGCCAAAATTGCATGGTGCTTCCATTTTTTGGCCATTAAAATTTGAAACATGAATGAATAGAGTCAAGATTTCAACTTTTTTCCAACAAAAGTTTATGGCTACACGGAGGGGGAAGAAGAGCTTGGCATCGTCGTGTCCTTACCTAGAGAGCTCTTCAGTCATCTCCGCCAAAGCGGCAGAACATGCGAATCATTATTTCTTCTTCAGCTGCGATGCCAAAATGCAAGGGGCAAGCAAGCAAGCAACATGAATGACGAAGCCAATTCATTGGAATGAAATCGAATCAGAAAACAACTGTCGTTTGTTTACATCGGGTTAAAATCGGGACAAATACGGAGGGCGTCACCTCACCACTAACAAAACGAAGAAAAGAAGAAGAAAAAAAAAAAGTGCATCGTTCCCCAGATTGTGACCAGGTACATCAATTACTATTCCTAGTAACAGATGTATCTTGCCATCTCCGGTATAAATTTTCCACTTAAATGCCAACACAGGACACATACACAGGAGATGGCCCGCTGTAGCTCTGCCTGCACAGAAACCAAACCGACCATACTTTTTCACTAGAACTTCTAGAAGGGAGACTATACTAAAAGGGGAGACTATACTAAAAGGGAGACTATACTAAAAGGGGAGAATACACTTTTGACTGTGTGACAGTAGGTAGGAACGGTAGAAGGGAATATAGAGACATATGGTCACATGTGACATATCCACATTTCTCTCCTTTTTTTTTATTTTTTTAACTCGCACAAGTTGCTTGCTCATTTGCCTTTCATGGCCAATGACTGGTGTTCGCTGCTGCCAGTTCTGCTCCCGACTTATCTGAACTCGTACATCGGCAGTTTGCCTGATGGATCTCAGCCGTACCAAACCAGTTAGACCTCGTCGACAGGTCGGATATTTTTCAATCAGCTAACAGGTAGGCTGCCCAGATGTTTGTTTGGAGCCCCCCCAGCAGCACCATGTTGGACCCCAATTTGTAGGGTCAGAAGAGGGGTCGATGAAGGGCCTACAAAGTTGTTGAATCAAGCAGTCACTTTGTTCCTCCCTCCCTCTCTCCCTGCTCCCCTCCCTCCCTCCCTCCCTCCATCCATCCATCCATCCATCCTTCATTCCTTCGGCCAATCTCCTCCTACTACTCCTTCGACCAATCTCATCCTCCTACCTTTCACCAGGCTCTCCCTCCCTCCCCCTGTCCCTCCCTCGCTCCCCCCCTCTCCCCCTCTCCCTCTCTCCCTCTCTCAATGCCCACCATCTATATTTGCAGGAAGTTTGTTCCTTGTTTGTTTTGTAGCTCGCGCTTCCTTGTCCCTCTCCATCCTCCCTCCTTTGCTTTTCCACAATCTCATTCACTTAACCATCCTTTTTTCTCTCTTCTTCTTCGTTTCTTTTTGGCACTTTGTCTCTTCCTTCTCTCTTTTTCTCTTTTCATGCTTGGGCATGGTTTCTTCGTTCTTCAGTGTTACATTTCTTCCCTGTTTCCCTGCTGCTCATCAATTTCCTTATAGACTGGAACTAAGCACCACTGAGGTCTGATCTCAGACAAACCAGACACACAACAGAGGATCACTGACTTCTGTTCTTTTTCTAAAGGGCGACAGCCTTGAGATATCATCATCGAGCTGACCGGACCCAAGTAATTCAGAATGACCTTATTCTGTTCATCTGATTGCATCTGGATTCGAACT